TAAATATTTAAATATAATTTTTTAGACTTTTGTACTTTTATTTTAAATATGCAAAAAAAAAACAAAAAAAACGATTTTTTTTTTTATTTTTTTTTTTTAATTTGCTTTTTTGGGGGGTATTAGTATATTTTGTATACTTTAAGTCAATCCAGTGAATAAGTCTAAAAAGTTATTTATTTATATAAGTTATTTACTTGATATAATTTAGTTTTGGAGTATTGTATTTAGTCGCGTAACGATGTTTGTCTCACACGTGTAGTAACCAATAAAATTGCATGACATGATCAGATGTAATATAAGCATTTAAAATCTTTTAATCTTGTCAATTTTATGATTTATAACTCTTCTAATGACCTTGTTTAGGAAGAATTTACTCAAGGAAGAAAAAAGAAATAGATTTAAAAATCTTGAAACAAAAATTAGGAAAATAGATGAGTGCTACACTCATATTTTTAAATATTTCCTGATTGCTACTCTTTAACGTAAGAACGGACGCGCAAAATTAACTCAACAAAAAGGTGAGCTTTCAATGGCTATAAAAGTTTAAATAGTTGTTTATATTCAATTGTCAATAGCTTTTAACTTTTTTTTATTTATTTTCAGTTTTAAGGTTGGGAAACGGTTCAACTTTAGCCAAAATACCACACTATATGATTCCCTACTAAGATTTTTTAAAAGCAATAGTTCGCAACGTCACGTAACACGTAACTAGGATCAGCCATAATAAATCACGGGGTTATAGTTTCAGCCCAACGAATTCTATTTCCAGAAAATAGAATTAAAAAATTAAAATAAAAAAATCAAAAAATCAAAATTAAAAAATCAAAAAACGTATATAAAAAAATTAAAATTAAAAAACGTTAATAAAAAAATTAAAAAAAACGTATATAAAAAAAAAAATAAAAACGTTAATAAAAAAATTAAAAAACGAAATTAAAAAATTAAAAAAACGTATATAAAAAAAATAAAAAAAAATTGAAATAACAAAATCTCCATGAAATTTATAACACATTCACATGTTTACTACACTTTACGCTTCGCTTTTGTTTTTTTTTACCAGAACAAATATATCAAATTTTGGTTACATACTTTGTACTACATTCTCTTATTAACTCCCTTTTACTTTAATTTCTGTCATAACGCAGCCCACATCGTCACGTGATTATTCGAAGCATACTCCCGATCTTCCTTCGCTTCTCTTACTTCGTTATACAAACCGTATGATATATTATTAATAATAAAAACTGAAGTAAGTTCAATGATTAAGAATGTTTAATATTAATTGTCAAATTGTTAATTTTATTTTTTTTCTTTCACGGAAAGTAAAGCCAATGAAAGTTTAAACGAAAAAATAAAGTTCAACTTTATATCAGTTCGGAATTCAAACTCGGCAATGAAGAAGCTTGCAAAAGCTCTGATATATGATCACATCAAATCACTTTGGATATATATATTGAATAAAAGCATTTTTATGTACTGCACGAAATAAACTTGCATTGAGTAAAGCTTTTACTATCAGATCCAATTTAACAATATTATAATAGTTTTTTTTTTATAATATTACAGCAAATATTTCTTCAAGCTTAAAATTAACATCATATTCGAAAATATAACGCTACAAGTCCAGTTAGTTCTCGAATGTCCAATAGTCAACTTTTACGAGCTGTTCATAATCCTGAACTGCTTCATAATACAGAAAGGTCTTTGAGAATTTACCTGCTTTCGTCAGACTATCGTATTTTCTAGTTAGGAGGATGTTCGTATATATAAATTTTAATATTTTCTTATTGAATAATATTATATGATTGTTGAATGCGTAGTAGCAGACAATAAAGGTTTCGTACCATAACCTCACTTTGATATCGGTTCTATCACTATTATATTGCGAGATTTATCGATAACTTTTAGTTGGTCTTTTTTTTTTTTTTTTTTAGAATTCTGTACATACTGTACAAGGTTTTTTTTTCAATACATGTGCTTGTACACTAATGGTCCCTAGTTTACCCACAGACTACATATTTATTGCTTCGAAGAATGCCATAAAAATCTTTGAAAATGTGATTTTTTTATACGTAGTACATCCTAAAAGTATGAAATTTCAAATCATAACCTTTTTTTTTCAAATAATCAATTTGATAAAGACATATATTTACTTGATATGAATATAAACTACATCGAAACTGTAAGTTTTTCTCCATTAAATATAATGGTAGATATTCAATTACAGTAAATTATCATATAATTTAAATATCATACCAAATTAATTTATTTTCGAATTTTCGAAAGAATGTGTTTAAAAGTACAAAATATACTAATACCCCCCAAAAAAGCAAATTAAAAAAAAAAATAAAAAAAAAAATCGTTTTTTTTGTTTTTTTTGTGCATATTTAAAATAAAAGTACAAAAGTCTAAAAAATTATATTTAAATATTTATATATTTCTGTTCCAAAAAAAAAATTTCTATTAAACATTTGTCGTTCACTATCTGTTATTGTTCTGTTAATCATACATACTACTACTACTACTACTACTACTACCACCAATAATAATAATAATAATGTAGTACTCGGTGATTTGGGTTAATAATATTCTTTCGATAATGATAATACCGGATACAAGTAAGTTGCTATTATAAATGGCACCATTTATTGCAACAATAATTTTTTAGATCTTTTTAGCTACCGGTATGTTATTATTATCAGAGTCATTATTATAATTATTTTTAGAATTCTTTAATATACCAGATTTACCTTTTGTAGTAATTAAAGGAGATGTAAAATTTGAAATTGGTATAATCGGTAATTTTGAATCATCATTAACTGGAGAAATTGGTGATATTGATGAAGAAGTTGGTGAAGTAGAATTTATTGAATTTGGTGATATAGGTGAAGTTATTAATGGTGAATCAGTTGAAGAATTTGAAGAAGTTGGTGAATTTAAATTAACCATCTCTACGACATCAGTTTTTAAATTATTATAAGCTTTAACTCTTCTTGGTCCATTAATTAATTTATTATTTAATGATGATGTTCTTGGTGTTACTTTATTCATAATATTATTACTAGAATCCGGTGAATATTTTGATAAAGTAGGTGAGGATGGTATTCTTGAAAGTTTTTGTGAATTATTATTATCTTTATTATCATCGAATTCATTAACTTGATTTGTTGATGATAATTTAATATCATTATTATTCCCATTATCACCAATTATTAAAGTTAATGATTTTTGTTTTTGTTTTAAAAGTTCTTCTTGTCTTTGTTGAAATCTTACTGAAGGTTTTTTATCGCTATCCACTAAAGTAACTTTTTTCTTTTTCTTTTCATTATTATTATTACTTATAATTGATTTTCCAAATTTCGTAACCTTATTATCATCAGTATCACTTTCATCATTATCAGTAAGATTTGTTGATAGTTTAAATGAAGCTGTTGAAGTAGTAACTTTAATTATTGGTTTTTCATTATTTGATATTATTGACATTCTTGCATTCTTTCGAGAAATAAATTCGAAATCATCATCAATTTCATCAGAATTTAGTGAATCATTAGAAGAATCTTTACGAGTTAATTGTGAAGAAATTAATGGAGAAATATCTTGACTATCATTATGTGAAGTTGAACCATTTCCAGTAGGTATTTGATTTTCCGTCGACGTTAATGAAGATAAACTATTTCTATTTATTTTTGTTAGAGGGGATGATGGATATTTTAATGATTCAGCAGGTAAAGGTTTTGAAAAATTAAGTGAACGTCTGTTGTTATTGATATTATTTGAATTGATTGTATGTTCAGGGGTAACACTAGATGATGGCAGATTTGTGGAAGATTGTTGTGTATTTGATGAGGTTGAAGGTGGATAGGTTGGACTTGGTAATAGAGTATTTGATGTAAAATAAAACGGAGAAGAAGTTCTCGAATCACGTGATACAGACGATTTTTTATAAACAGATGGGGGAGCGTTTGGATCAAATGCTACAGAAGTAGGTAATGGTGGTATATCAAAGGTTACAGAAGTAGGTCTTGATGATTTATTTTGATTATTTCGAGCAGAAGAATCGTCATGAACTTCCAAGTACAAACTCGTACGATCATGCCTTGAAGAACCTTGTGAAGACCAAGAGCTATCTTCATTATTTGGATTATATTTTGACCATCTACGATTTGGTGGACCCAATAAATTTCCTTTTGATTGAACGGTCAATGTAGAAGCTATACCTTTTGCCATAGTTAAAGTATCATTGAGAGTATTTGATGAAGGATAAAAAATTAGAATTAAGGTAACAAATACTATCCAAATTGTAAAATTTAGATGGCAGATTAAAAGATCCATAGTGAATTTATGAGAGTTGAGATATTTTTGTGGAGTGAAAGCATCAGCACATAAAATTATCATTGCAGTAGAACCAATAAAAAGACCCCAAGTTAAATATCGGTTCATTTCCTGTATTATAAGAAGTAAGTTAAAAAAAAATATATATTAAAATTTGGGATGAACGTATAATTATACTTTATACGTATACATTACCTTAAAATATTCTAATTTTAATACAATACATAATTGAGAAGAATTAACGCTCCTAGTAATTCTCAATAATTTTGTAAATCTCCAATGGGATCTTACACCCAATAAACCGATTATGAACAAAATTATACCATAAGCTAACTGAGGAACTACTTCAGTGTATAAAGTATCATAACGAAATAGCCATTGTAGTAATGGAAATAAGGCCATACTGAATATGGAGTATATTATATATGATTTGAATTCTATTATATAAATTAAGATAAAAATGAGAAATAGAAGATCATTATCGGGGAAAGTTGTATATAAAACTTACCAAAACTACCCATAAAAGTTGTTTTTGCTATATTATTTGCAAGATAATTCCAAAAGGATTGAAGTAAGAATAATAAGCACCTTAAAATAAATGAAATCAAAACGATATTGATATAGATTAGATTATATTATATTAGATTAGCATTTACTTTAAAAAAGAATTTAATATTTACGTTTGAGCACTAAAATTGGCACAGAGGATGTAATTGATAGGTGTAACTAATAGTTTATTATCATCACTCCAAAATTCCTCTGGCTTTGTAATGATTTCGCCATTATATGGGATCACCATGAAACCTTCAGTGTACTTTATTTTTGAAGTAGCAATATCGTAGGTTGCTTGTAACGGACACATGATACAAAGTAATATTGTGATTGCAGATTTCTATTAAATTATTAAAATTATTAAAATTATTAAAATTATTATAATTATTATAATTGTTATAATTATTATAATTATTATAATTATTATAATTATTATAATTATTATAATTATTATAATTATTATAATTATTATAATTGTTATATACATATATTTTATAATTTAAAGAATTAATTTCGTAATTTTTAAATTAGTTATATAATTCATCAAAGTAAATAAAAAGTTAACATACCAATTCGAACCTTTTAACACGTCGCCATCGTAATGCTTCAAATCGATCAATGTTCCATACATGTTGAAGAAACCAGGCAAATGTCCATGTAACAAATACTGCACGAACTATAAAGAAAAGTAAGAATAATATTAACAATTTTATATAATGTAAAAATTTAAATTTGAATAAATTTCTTTCTTTCTTAAAGGTAAATTCGATTGTCAAAAGGTCAAAGAAGACTTACATAGATATGTTAAATCACTCGCTCGAGTCATAGTTTATATTATACATCAAATCACAGTAAGAATATATATAAAAATAATTTCTGCCAAATTCTATAAATAATATAGGTATAACTAAAAAATATTCGAATATAATGATAATGAAAGGTTTAGTCGAGGGTTAAGGAGAGAAAGGTAAAGAAAAAACTAAACAATGAAAAAAAAATTAACCGTTAAACCTTGAAAGCCGGCAAGGAAATTGTCATAGGTCAACCAATGACAATGAACATGTGGTAGTATTCAAACAATATGTATAAATATGTACAAAGGTATTTAGCAAATAATTTCCTGTTAAATAGAAAATATAATTTGGAAATATTTCTCGGTGTTAACCGCTTTAAGAGTTCTTGAAAGACAGATTTAGTCTTGTGGGGATTTTTTTCCAATTGTGAAAGAATGAAAGTAAGAAATCACCTGTTAATAGATAATATGATAAATGATAGGTTAATAAAGATTATTATAATTTATTTTTTCATGTAGCAAAATTTACAGTCTTGTCTATGAATTATCACGAAGAATTTCGAATCATAACAAAAAAAAACCACATGTATACACGACATCATGCAAGACCTTTTTTTATATTACTACGAAAGAAATTGAGAACACAAAGCCAAGCAAAATGACGCGTTATTTCGACCAAAATAATACAATAAAAAAAAAAATATATAAAAAATAATTTAATCAAGATAAATCACCTTTAATAAAATAATTGAACACTTCAGTTTTAAAAATATATACAAGAAAAGAGATATAAGAAAAGGCGAAAAAAAAGCGTACCGAACATTTTTATGCTACATGTATTTATTAATTTTAGACATTATTTAATCAATCTTAAAACCCATATTAAACTCGTATTTAATCTTGTACATTTTGACAAGGAAAAATGTATAAATTACAATGGAAAGTGTAACACTATTCTTTATTTATGAGCTGCATATTATTCCCAATTTTGAATTGCAGTCGAATTCCCCAAGGCAAATCAAGGTAAATCCAAAAGTAATATGTAGGGGTACAAATAAAAAAAAGGGCACTTTATCGAGCATTCAAGGTATAGATCAATATGACGACGAAAAATCAATTTTAGTCATGAAATAAATGTAAACGTAAATCATCATAGCATATATGGAAAATGTTGAAACAATGCACAAGTGACAGAAAAATGTCAAAGTAAAAATTTATATTGATTTACTCTATTATGACAAATTTGATGCATAGATTACACAACATATACACGAATTTGACTCTTTTGGTGATCAAAGAAATCTTTTTTTAATTCCAAAATCGGCCGATTTATTACATAAACCTAGTTTTTTTTTTAAGTAATAAATGGCTAATTTCCAAATTATACTTTACTATATACAGGTATATATCGATATACAGTATAACTAAATTATAAATACATTTTTAAATATAGAACTACCTCTACGTAAACGATCATGAATAATTAAGATCCTGGCTGTGTAGTTTGCTTTTACTCAATAAAAAAAAATTTTTTTTTTTATTGAAATATAATGATAATATTAACGTCAATTGTGACTAATAGATCTCTGAAATAGATCAGAACAATCGTAACTTGTTTTCCTATTTTAAATAAAAAACCTGAAAATTTGTTATCATACAATAACTAATAAATATCAATTCTTATACGTACTTATGTACTTACATACTTTAGGTAGTTAAGTAATGCGTAAATGTATAAACATATATATAACAGTAAAAATATTAAGAAGTTTTGTTTGTTCTTACTTACAATCAATGACCTTTGTTAAAGAATAATGAAAATGCAAGTTAATCTTTTTAGAATTTAATTTATCTTTTTGGAATTCAATTTATAATTTAGGAATTCGGAAACGTCTTTGTCATAATCGTAAATATATTGATTTTCACTTATTGATACATATAGTATATGATTAATACTTTATTTTTTTATTTTTTTTTATCTAAACCAGTTCTAGATAAAGTTTTTTTTTCTTTTCTTTGTGATTCCTTTACAATATTATAATTATTATATTATTATTATTTTTTTTTTGTTCATTCATATATTCTTTGTTTGAATTCTTTTTTTTATCCATTATTAAATAATTAAAGTTTTTTTTTTTATAAAAAAAAATATTTACTAGGTCTGACCTGACGCTAATAAACAAAATTTCACACACGTGAGGCATTTATTCCTAACCATTATACGCATTGAATATCAACCTTATCGTGGTTATTTGATACGTATCTCTAAAAAATTTACACATAGTCAAAGTTACGTTTTAGTTAGAAAGATTATTTGTTATGTATCAGGTATGTACTGTATATACCGTACATACGTACACAAGTGAAGAATTAATAATCTGTGGATCAGGAAAGTGCGTAAGTATATAAGGGTAATAAATATTATTTATTGGGATTGAAATTGAACTTGACTTAGGCAATGAACTGTATTCTATAATATATAATTCGCAAAATCTACATTGATTTATGTCAGCATCAATATAGAACTCTGTAAAGCCTATTGTTAAAGTTCTATTCATTATAATAGATAATTATATAAATCAAATACATCCCTAGTTCTGTAGTTGTTTGTATGAACAATTAAATTAGTCGCATTATTGTATATAACGATAAGTTTTTTAAAGATCGGATTATCGAATTTGAAGTTCTATCTATAGAGTTGTGTTCAACAAATTTATATTGAGTTCTACCGAGGAAAAATCTGTAAATCCAGCTTGTGTTAAACCACTGAATTATGATACTATAATACAATTAATTGATTATTATGTCTATCACTAATAAGCAATAATGTAGATGGTATAATCACGTCATAAACAATAAGATTCTTCAAGGGATTGAGTCCAGTAAGATGAATTAAAAATTAAGGGAAATGACTTTCGGAAACATGTAACATTTGCGATTTACACCGTATCGAGTCACCTTCATTACAATACCAAAAAAAAGGTCGTACTAAAAATATTTCGAAAGAAGAAATCGTAATAACGATAATTCAATGATAAATGATCATGATAAAATTAGTTAAGCATATGTTAATTAATAATTAAAATTTTTCAAAACGCATGGTTTAGGCTGAATGTTGATCGCTAACCCGAAATTGGTATTAAAGCTAGTTGAATTAAATCGCTTAACGATATATATATATATTAATTAATAAAACTTTAAAATAAAGTAAAAATAATTAATTAAAATAAATTTTAAACATAATAAAAAAAAAAAATTTTTTTTTATATACAAAATAAGGATGGTCATTTGGATGTAACATTAAAATTCTAATCAATATCAAACCAATGTTTAATTTAAGTGAAAAAGAATAAGAAACATAAAATTATTTTCGAAAAATTTAAATTCAGTCACTTCACTTTTTAAAGGTACTATATGAGAGAGTGAAAGATTCTCTAGTTTCGACAAGTTTCAGGTTCATTCATTTTGGAGGTTTCACCAATTTCAAAAGTTTCGGATTTTGGAGTGAAACCAAAACGCAAAGGCCGAAACGTTTCGAACCTTAAAAAAAGGGGTTTAGACCAAAGAAATTCGAATGTGCACCAGGGTTAGATATGAATAAGATTCTCCAAAGATTTTAATAAATATAGAGTTTGTTAAAGTAGTCATAGATTGATTTATTTAGTTTAAAAAGATACAATTCTTCATCATTGTTAATGGAAAAGACCAATTTTTCTATTTAACCAAAATTTTTCTTGAACAGAAATGGTTCGAAGTAATATATGAATTAGAGTTTAACTTTCTCAGTACAATAAAGAAAAAAATTATCAAATAAAGGCATGAAAAAAACATGCAAGAAAGATACAATTTAAAACTACATTTTACAAACAATGCTTCTATGAAATTTCGACTTTTTTCCAATTGAATAGAACAATATAATTATTTTGCCAGAATAAGCTCTGCACTTGATATCATTATTAGCCCTGCACCTGATATCAATATTAGCCAATAAATTTATCCTCATCTTCGTAACTCTTCTTATTCCCGATTTTATTTAGGTAAAATCCCAAGTTGATAAATCTAGTGTTAGCTTAATTTATAAAAAAAAATCAAAAATATTTCAACAAAACAAAAAGTAGTATTATTCAAAAGATGTTATATAAACCCGTTTTGTTTTATCTCTTAAGGATCTTTGCTGTTCTTGCATTTTGTACTTCAAAGTTTTCTAATTCTTAAAATTTTCGGATTCTTTGTCACTATTATTATTATTATTATTATTATACAATTCGTCTGTAAAAAAATTTATTACAATATAAGCTTCGTATATGCTACAAAATAAAATATACATTTAAAATACAAACCAAAATACAATACTTCTCTAAGGATACGTGTTATTTCACCGACAATCACTTCACAGACAACTTAGTTCACCGACAATCAATTCACAGACAAGTTCATT